TAGTTCTCCAGAGCTCCAAAAAAACAGGGGGTTTTTCCACACCTTGGCCCAGTGGAAGGTGGTGACCAACACTCCAACCCCCCCCACCCCCGCCTGGCGGGCGGGGGAATTCTGGGAGTTGGTCCACACATCTTCAAGTGGCCAAGGTTGAGAAACACCGCTCTGTTTCATGGATCCGTAGATCATCAATTCTATAGATCATCAATCAGATTAATAAATGTTGCATAAGATGAAGGAACAACCATTTGGGGTACTGCTCCTCTTTCTATATCTCACAGTTCCCGCTCCTGTTTCATCTTCCCTATTTGAGAAGCGGCCCGTGAAGTCTAAAAACTCATTTGCAAACTCATTTTTTCTAAAATACTTACTGAAATTGGAGCCATGCAGGAATGATAGAGATCGAATGGGATGGTAAGTTGGCAATCGGGGATAACATCTGGAGCCATGCTGCAAGAAAGAATCAGAATCATTTGAAAGCACATCTCCTTCAGAAAACAACATTTTGAGAGCTGTAAAATATAACCCAATGTCCCCCAGCTAAGGGAAAAATTCTGCATTTGATATCATTGCCTTCGGAAGAAAAAAAACTATCTTATCTCATTAACCAAGGAAGGGGGGAAAATGTCACAGTGCACAGAGATTTTTTTCAGTTCCTCACAAGATAGGGGCTTAAGGGTAGAATTTAGATAGGTCATATTTATAGAAAACATATAAAATTAAAAGGAATAATTTTAAGAAAGCATCCAGAAGCACCGTAAGCCAAAAAGCTTGACTGGGAACAGAGATTAAAAGCTTTAATATGCATCATGTGGTTAGCTGGATTTGAGAAGATGGAATACCATGGAAATGTAATTGAAGGCGCTTATTAAAATGAATCAAAACAGGCAGAAGATTTTCTAATTCAGGACTGCTTTTGTAGCATCATGATAATTTAAAAAGAAGTGGGTTTTAAAGGTTAACAGTCTTTCTCCTGTTAAAATCCAGCAAGAACTAGCTTTCCAGAGAACACTTACAATAGGATGCTGGTTTATCAGCCTTGAGAGAACACAGTCCAGCTCTTTGTATGACTTTTCAACAAGTCTGAGGTGACCAAGTTTAATGTGGTATAAAGTTACAACCATTGAAGTAAGCTTCGGAATCAAACAGCTCGCCTCTGTTGATAGATTGTCTTTCTGCAGAATCAGGAGGAGAATAGCTTTCCTGCAGCCCCTCCATCGCTCTCAGAATATATTCAGAATGACTGGGAGGATTTTCCCAAGTGGTTTGGAGGGCCCTTAGGGGGAAATGTCTGGGGAAGCGGGGTTGGGGGGGGAGAAGGAACTCTGATACACAAATGGGGGTGTGTTTGCCCATTCAATTCTTCCCTAAGTAAAGGCTGAAGAGTGAAGCTGGAGGCAAAGCACGAAACAAGCAAAAATCCAGGATGGAAAAGGAGCTAAAAACATAGGACCAGTCAATTGTTCAGAAAGATTGTATTGCTCAACTAGGGCAGGAAGGCTTTTGAAACTCTTTCTGGCCCAGAAGGATCCAATGTCCAGCCTGAGTGGCAAGAATCAAATCAGGGAGTTGAGGTCCTTCATTAAGAAGTTTCTTCCTACAGTTCAGTGGTTTGACACAGGAGGGGAGCAAGTTACACAGAAAGGAATCCCGTTGTTTGTAATACCATGTTGGAAGGTGTTCGGGTCCAGTATGTGGGATGATGACTGGGGTGGGGAGAAGGTGTCCCACGTGAGCCTGTGAGGATCATTGCAAAGCCAATTCAGAGTGAGGGTAACAGCAGAAAGTAATGACCGGCATGTAGAAAGCACTGAGTGATGACATTGGACACTAGCAGGCAACTTATAGGTCAGGAGGAAATGAGATGGAGAGGAATTGTTCAACCGTGGACCAGAAGTCAGGACAAGAAACAATAGGTTTACATTAGAAGGAAGAAGATGGGGTTGGACATTGGGAAAAATTCATTCAACAACAGAACAGCCTTGGGAGGTTGTGAATTGTCCTTCCTTGGAAGAGTTTAAACAAGGATTGGATAAGATGCTGTAATAATGGATTCCCTCAATGGGCAGGGGGTTGGACTAGATCAGTGTTTCTCAAGCTTGGCAACTTGAAGACGTGTGGACTTCAACTCCCAGAATTCCCCAGC